CGAGCGAGTGCGTACGCCGGGGCATTCGTTAATACCGTTTCCGGCGTGCGCCTGGGTCGTGCATATACAGTTTCGGTTGTGTTGTCCGTCTCTATTGTATCTCTCGCGCGCATCGTCCATCTATCCGTCCGTCCGTCCGTTCGACTCTCGTCGTTCTCTGTCTTCTGCGTGCGCTCATCCTCACCATCATCTTCATCTTCATCCTCATCCTCATTCTCTTCTTCTTCTTCTTCTTCTTCGTCTTCTGTGGAGTATAGACGCAGCGTCACGGGTTTCCGCTGTTTCGCTCCTCTCGCAGGAGGTCAGCACCTCAGCGTCGGTAGGTAGGTAAGTGCGGAATGCGGGACTTTGGGGTTGCTGGAACGTGAAAGACGCCGGACTTTTAAGAGGAAGAGAGAAGGAGGAAGAAAAAGAGAAAGACAGATCGTGCTTCCCATTACCTCTCGAAAGGAGAGCTCACGGTGAAATATGAGCGGCCGGTTTCGGTAGTTTTCTTCTCTTTGCGTTGGCGGCCAACGCGGGGGATCCCACAGTGTACCTATCTCGCGTGTGAAGCCACCGGCACCGAAATTCGCGCAACGATTGGACGAGCTGGTTCGTGGCGAATGTTCGCCAATCGCTTCTCCACGGGACTCCAATGAAAAATCGCGCGTGAGAGTCACAGAGATTTAAATGGGCTTTCTTGTTGATCTCGCTGATGAACGGAGATTCAGCAACGTCAAAAACGATCGTAGACTCTTATCTAATAGGTGGTCACGATTTGAAATCATGTTGGTTGATAAGAACTTCAACGCATGGATATAATCCGACAGATTTCCTGCAGTGAGGAAGAATGTGATCTGTAAACGAAGGTATCGAAATGTTTGTCTGTAAATTACGATACGAAAATAAGATTTCCCTTGAATTGTGTATTATAACTTTAGCTTCGATATCTAATTTCCAATAAATATCAATTAACAGTAATAACATCAATGTTATAATTAACAGTTACATCGTTAAATTAGGTGTAAAATTATAACATATCGATGTTGTGTTACTTTTAGTTGGTTTGTTTATTGATTTAGCTTTATGAATTTTCTTTTATATTTCTCAAAATATAAACTGGCGTATTCTCGGCGTTAAATATCATCAAACGCATTTTGTTATAAGTTTTCATATTTTATTTTGCCGTATGTCGTTTAAGTGCGCAGAATTTTCAAAAGACGTAGAGATCGAATCTGTATTCAAAGTCTAAAGAATAATTTTCACTTCTCTCTTTCCTCACGCAAAGCGCATACTTCGTTTATCTTCATTTATCACCGTGTTTCGTAATATTCATCGTGAGAAATGCATTTCGATGGGATTACGGATAGCATATCTGTGAAACGCAGGACGTGTGTGAAATGTTTCAACGTGTAAAGATAAGACAAGAAGCGACAGCTCGGCAACGGGGTTGGTTTGCCCTACTCCCGCCGCCATTGTGCGTCCCTCTTGTTTACGAACGGTGTGCGTAGAGTAACGCGTAGAAAAACCATGTGACCGTAAACACGGAATATCCTCGGCTATGTTCAGATCCCCACCTGAGTGTCACCCAGGTATCGTTTTATCCTTTGTGATTTACCGAATGTTAAATCGAATTTTAAGGATAAACTTGGGGTATTCGGGTGAAAATCTGAATCCTTAGGAGAAGTTAAATATCGTTTCACTGTGTAGATAAATTTTCGAAAAGTTGTGTGCATTTTTATTATTCAAGAGGTAATTTAAAAGGAGCAATGCATTTTAAAAATTAATATATAATATTAATTAATGTGAATGAAAAAGCGATAAATTAATTTGGATAAATTATTAAAGAAGTGAGTTCATTCAAATATCAAAAAATTCGACGATTTATTTTCTTCACATCTTAACACATTATTACGCTCATTTTACTCGACAATGAAACGCGTTTAGCGTAGAAGATAATTCTATTAGTTAGCTCATTCCAACTCTAAATGAATAATTTATGCTGATCAGTATTCCGAGAAGATTGCAACGTATCGCATTCATGCTCATTCAAATCTACACATTCTGACACATAAGTGCAACACTTGCAGTTTCATATCTAAGAAATATGATGATTCTTCCACGATAAGGCGTCACTGAACTTGCACATTTGTAGATAATCTGTATATTTATATGAACTTTAAACATCAGTCAATAATTATAAAACTTGATATACAAATTATTCGTAGCCAATAATTGTCATCTACAAATCTTTCATTTATAAAAATTCTAGTAAACATTCCAATGAATAGCTTAGAATAAAAATAAACTTTATTTACTTTGAAAGTAATAACTAGCCCTATTTATTGGAATTATGAATTTTAAGAAAATGATAAAATTAAATTTTACGTGAAGTATTCAAATATTTATATGTATAATTTAAAAGTTAGTAAACCCATTAATAAAATAAAATACATATATTTTAAATATATTATATTTTATTATATATAACAAATGTATCTGTTATATATAAATAAATGATTATGAATTAATTAAAAAACAAAGAATTTTTATAAATTAAAAATTTTTGTTTAAACTATTAACCTTTTCTTACATAAATTACACCAATTATCTTTAAAAATATATATATTAATTTTAAACAGTAAAATCATTGAACGATTTAACGAAAATTATTTTTCTAGAACGGATATTTTTATGGAAGGTGGATCATATTCAGCTTCCTGGATACCGTCGAAATGATATACGATACTGAATATGCGTATTCTCCTTACCCTCGATTTTTCGTTCTAGAAATAGAAATGAATGAGAACGTCGAGCAAGTGTTTGTTGTGTGAAAGACTTGAGTACATAGTAGTGTCAATCCTGCGGATAATCTAGAAGCAGCGACGCCCTGTTTACTCGGTTCGGTAGTCTAGCGTAGCAAACCCCCCAGAATATCGTCAAAGATGTATTTTCAGCGTCCTTAATTGAATAGAACGACGCGGCACTCATAAATTATTCGAGTTTCTAATTAGACCGTCACAGCGTTCTTCCACGGTGAAGTTTTCCCCGCACGAAGAACGGCATTTTTTGTTGACAATTTTATTGAAAAAGAGAATGCCGATTATTTAAATTCAAACAACATTCCATTTGGTTTCCCAATATAATAATCATATAAACGTGTAACAATGTAACAATCTTTTTTTATGAGACTTTCTGATATTTCCAATTAACAATTACAAGTTGTTTACAATATGTTATTTTTCATCGAAAAGATCGTTCCCTTTATGCTTAAAAAATGATACAACTAAAAAAAATAACACTTGATTATGTTAAGAAATTTTTTTTTTTTTTTTTACAATTTGATTAGTCAGTAATTTTCTCTCAGGTTGAACAATAGTCTTTTCTTTTTTCTGAGAAACTTAATTTTTCGGTTGTGTCATTTCTAAAGAGAGCGATATACTTATCGCATTTCAACATGATGAATAACATTTTCAATTTAAAAAGTATAACAATATTTTTGATACACAAAAATGCATAACTCT